AAAAAAAAAAAAAACATTAAATGCAGATAGCTGCGTATAAACAGATTTTTAGGGAATTGGTTCATAAGAAGTTTGAAGGAAAGCATCTTATTACCCATTTTAACTAATCTATAATCTAGTTCTTCTTCTTAATCACTGAGGATAGAGATCAACCTGAATTTCTGAAGAAAATACTTTATAGCCCTTATCTAAGCAGCATCAATTTGTGGACCAGTAATAGATAAGTATAATAAAATAGTAAGAGAATAAAAAATTAACAGGTGATTAAGCCTGGAATAATAAATTTTGTTTTATTCTCCACAGTTGGAAAGTATAATACTAGGGAAGTAATTAATCATGAACTCTACACTTCAGAGAAAGAAATAACCACATGTGCTTGGACTACAAAACACTGTACGTGAAGTACTTAAGCTCCACTCATGTAAAACATACCTGGATCAGTTGCTGATACAATGGCACCAAACAGCAGGCAATCTGTAAAGTAGAAATCTCCTGCAAGTTGTCCAGTGACCTTCATCAGTGTTACACAGCCATACATTATTGACCTGTTCAATAAACATTTTCCTTCTTTAGAAGAAAATATCAACTGTTAAAGAAGTTAGAACAAAGGAAGAACAGGAAGATGAGCCTACTGTAGTACTTTGTGATGAATTCCAAATTTAGTTCGTGTCATTTAAATATGGTAATACCTTGGCCTTAAGGAAAATTCAAGCTTATTACCTACCGGAATACACTTTACTGCAAAAGTCCTTAGACACATTCAGAAATACAACACCAAACAAATAAAAATATATTATTTTAAAACTATAATTTGAAGGTTAAGAAGTATTTTTTGAAGGTTAAGAAGTATTTTAAGCTTCAAATACTTACCCAATAACAAAACAAGAAATTGCTGTTCCAAGAAAAGCATATGCTAGGATAGACCCAAGGTTTCGAAAGAAATGTCTCTGACAAGAAAACAAAACAAAGCAGTGAAACACTGTGTTAGAATACTTACTAATTATTTGAAAAAGAAAAGGTTTTCTGTTCTAGTGTGCTATAGCCAATGTTACATGCATTATTCACTAGAAGAAATAAGTACGAGAAAGTATTCTTATACAGGCAGAACTTTCAGCATCTAAAAAGGATAAGGAGAGGAGAAAGGAGGAAAAGCTGGAAAGAACTGCCTGTCAAACACTTCAGTTTAAGGCTTTTGAAAGTATATGCAATACAAAAGCACTTACCCTTTTCAGGCTATACCCTGCATAGAATATAATTGGAGGAAGTAATATGTTGAAAAATACTTCCGGATCAAAAGTAACCTGTTAAAATAAAGAGTTCTCTTAGATGCATTCCATACAAAGCCTCATATTACATTATCAAATTATCAAAATGAAAAAGGATTAAATGTTAAACTCGTTAAAGGCAAAACCATTATTGGGGTAACTTAAAAATATTTCATATAGGATAGCTATTGTTCTACTTCTCAACAAAGAGATAGTATTGGGACAATCAGTTAAGCCATATCTGTGGAAAGTCTGTTGAAACATTGACATTAAAACTCTTAAAAATAGGAGAAAGCATGACCAGATCTTTGCTTTAAATAAGAGGCCCACAACTGGTACAATATTATTGTTGGCAAGAAAAACCAGACTTCTTACCTAGATACGTAGTTCATCTCTAAAGGTACACAACACAGCGTTGTAGTAAAACGTTTCTGTACAATTCAGATTTCTAGTCCTGATAGCCCACTCATTTTAAGACTTTTTCCTGGG